TTCCTACACTTAGCTGTCATGAACCTCAAGCCCACTGGATGATGTTCCATTGAAAAAAATAGTACTAAAACCAAGCCCTTGGTCAACCGCTGATCCGTTCAATATTCAAATTGGTTGTTTGTGCTTAGTGAGACACCCACCATGGAGCAGGCTCTCGCTATTGGCAGCTCCATAGTCCGAAATGTGGCACCTGTGACTCAAACCACAGTCAAATGCATTCCAGGGGCCAGAGCAGGTGACATTGAATGTCAAACTGGTTCAAAACTAAAAAAAAACAACTTTTTTTGGTTTTGAACCAGTTTGACATGACTGTCAACGAGGAAGAGGACTGGCTCCAGAGGAGGCGTGCCAAAGACACCATCTTAGCACCAACATAACTGGTTTGTTCCACTTTGGAGTAAGCTGTTTGGGGGAAGAATCAGTTTTGTGTTGTGTGTTTCATTGACTGATGAAGCCTTCTGGATGGAAGATGAAATGTTTCAGCAAAAAAAGAAACTGTCCAGATGATCTGGCTGAAAATTGTTGGAAAGAAAAACAAAGTAACCAAAACAATAATGATCCTTAAACTGGCTTTGGGACAAAGGAAATTACCTTTAACTTCAGATGTTCTTGTTCAACCTTTTAAAGCAGTCACTGCAGATGAGTGATTGTCAGTTTCTGTAAGATTTCTGCAACTGGAGTAGATATTTCTGTTTACTGGTTAACTTCCTCAGCTGTCTCAGATTTTAAGGGTCAAGCCTACTCCATGTTTCAGCTCCTTTCATAGATCAGATCTCATAGAAGAACTTCTAAAGAGCAAATTTTGTTTTTAGCGTTTGTTTTGGGTCATCTCGTTACAGGACTCATGGCCTTTAATTGAGACCAGACTTTTTGACAAATGGGAGCAGGTTTTGCTTCAGATGCTTCATATTTCATTGTACTCAGACCACACTCAAGGCAACCTGTGTCAGGTGCAGCCAACAACCAAGAATACAAGAGAATCTTCTTGTGTTTGACAGCAGATATAACGCTGTTTCTTAGAAACCTTCAGTTTTACAAAAGAGCTGACGTTACTTACGTAAAGAGCAGAAAATACAGCTAGCCAATCAGTGTTTGTCCGCTACAAACGCCTATTCTCCAGAAACGCCCACTTTTGGTCTGCAGAGAACCCCTTCTCAGGTGGTGCTCTGAAAACAACATAGGATTTGTAGACAACTGGAGTGGATTTTGGGGAAAACCCGATCTGATGCGGAGAGATGGAATCCATCCCACTTTGAATGGAGCAGTACTTCTCTCTAAAAACGTAACTGGTTCATACTCATCTGCTCACACAGACTAATGTTCATGCTGCTGTTGTTCAGCATATTGTTTTTGTACTACTAGTGCTCATCATATTCTTAGTTTAGTGTTTTTCTTAGTTCATATCTTAGATCTTATTACTTTTTACGTTTTAGACTAAGATCAGCTGATATGTTGAGAAATGAGAAAGGCGTAGCTGTTTTGGCCGAACCTCAAATTTAAATCACACATGTCAAGATGTCAGGCTTCTACGATCTGTACATGACTCAGAATATTTGTTGGAGATCAGTCTCAGCTACTAACACACAACATTTTAGATCATTACCTGTAAAATTGACTAAGGTATAGCAATACTTGTATTTTATAGGGTCAGATGAATCAGGTTGATTCCAAAAATTAATCAGTTATAGCTGAACATCCAATGATTATTTTCTGCAAATTTCATTAAAATTTGTCCAGTGGGTCTTGATACGTTTTAATAATAACTGTAACCCACACAAAGACTCAGGCAAAAACACATTTTCTTTGTGCCTTTCTGCGGCGGTCGATAATAAAATAACTAATTTCTTATTAGAGGGGTTAAAAACATTCAAATCTTTGTCCTACAATTAAGAACTTTAGCAATAGCTTTATTTATAGCAAAAATCAAGTTTCTTGACATTAGACGTTAAAAAAAATCTAAACTACATTTAAACGTGCTCCTTTCAAAGTGACACTTGTTACTGATTCAGCATAGAGTGACTGTCACAAACACGCTTTCTGTGAATGTCGATGTCTGGAAATGAAGCTGGGGGTGCGACAGGGTGTTGGATCTATGTAAATATTTGCAGTGGGAGATTAGGTGTGTTGACTCTACCGATGACCCAGCCATTGCTGAAGCATGACAGCTGCTCCTGATAGCATTGGCATCTTTACTATGTGGAGTGATGTGACTTTTTCAATTTTAAAATAAAACACTGACCTTCATTTCAGTTCTTCATTTGATGAAAGTGTACGTGTATAAAGAAATAACATTTTATCGAGTAAAGAATTTCTTTTTAAATCAAATGCATTTTACCAAAAACTTCAGATGCTCCAAACTAACTTTTTGGCAATGGTTGCACTGCAGAGGTTGGTTGTACAACATTTATAAGCAGTTTTATTTTTCACAACTTCATTCCACCAAAATATTACCCCATTTCTTGCAGATAATATATCCGAGTCTCTGTTCAGCATGTTCATGAATGAAAAGCACTGTTACGACTGCATTATTTGCAGTAAATGTGTGCAGCGCTTTGGCAGTCTACAGAAACTGGGCTAGCCAGTCTTCTGAAATACCGTGTAGTACATATGGCTTTGTTCTGCATGGTGGGGTTCTTACTCTGTTTTAAACTGAGCGTTGCTGAGCTAAGTCGCTGACATATCACAGGGAGCAGAGTTAGTTTACCACGGCAGACACATTATATCGTCAGCTGATGAATTCTAAAAGTGATTTATTATAAAGCAGTTTATTTTTCCCATCAGATGACATTTAATACAGCTCATAAATGTTTTACTGAAGCAAACAGAAGTGGTGGTTCTGTTGATAAGTGACAGGGCAGGGCCATGTAACTACTTTGTTCCCACATTTTTATTATTATTATTATCATCATTGTTATTGTTGGTCCTTCCATTTTCTTTAGTAATTTTTCCTTTCTAGGTTGAGGCGCAGGGATATGTAAATGGGTACAAAATTGTTTAAAGAAATATTATATTTCTGTAATACATTAACTTTAACAGTACTAGTAAAAATGCATAAAAATATTCTGAATCAAGTTTAGTCATCATTTATTGCATGCTATGTTGTTACTCATTCTCATCAAAAAACTAAGTTCCCTTTTTAAGATATTCAGTGGTTAAAATCAAATAGAGGAACTAGAAGCTGGGTGGTACAGTTGGCAGAACTGTTGCCTCTCAGCAAGAAGGTCGCCGGATCGAATCCCGGCCGGGGTCCATTCTGGGTTGAGTTTGCATGTTGTCTCCATGCATGTGTGGGTTTTCCAATTTCCTACCACAGACTGAAAACATGCATGTTAGGCTGATTGATAACTCTAAATTGTCTCTAGGTGTGAGTGAGAAAGTGAATGGTTGTTTGTCTCTATGTGTCCCTGTGATGGACTGGAGACCTGTCCAGGGTGTACCCCGCCTCTCGCACTGTGATTGCTGGACATGGGCACCGGCGACCCCCATGACCCAAAATGGAAAAAGCGGTAAAAGATGGAAGGATTCACATTTTTAATACTTTTTCTGATATTCTTATCCATCTTATTGGTACGTCTGAAGCTGTGCATTTTAAACAAGCTTTGTAAAAATTTGAACTGAACTGAGAAGGTTTTTACCTTCAAACTATTTTCTTCAATGCCACACTATAAGTTAAAAATGACATTTAACTAAACTGATAATGAGGATGAGGGGTTTCTTTGATAAGCTTCAGTTACAAGCAGGACAACCACTGGGCATTTTTAAGCTCTATTTTTCCTCATTATCTTCCAGCTCAGCTTTTTAAATTTATTCTTATTTATAGGCAAAAAAAACAACAACAAAAAAACTACTGTTTTTTTTTTATATTTATAAATGAATGCATAAAATAAAAACTATTTGTGAAAGAGGAGGACTGTGTCTGCTTGTGAGATAATGGAAAAACAAAACTTTATGCAATTTAAAGGTTGAACATGAGCAAAAGAAACTTGTTGCGCTGTTATCCTTGGTGGAAAGCACTCTGAGTGTCCTTCAGGCAGAATATTCAGTGCTTTTTGTTTAGTCTTCCCCTCTCTGTCAGCTAGATTTAGGTTATTGTGTTTCGTCTTTAAATGTAATATATAAATGATAGCATGTCAGGTCCTGCAAGTTTTATTTTCAAAAACGTTCCAATTGGACATCAATAATCTTTCTAAACCATATCGGGGATTGCTTTCCATCAGCACAGTAAATCTGTTTTCCTGTTATTCATTCTCACATGACAGTGACACGTGAAACAAATACTCTTTACGAATGATTAAAATATAACGCCTACTTTATAAAAGCAAACACTCAAAGCCTATAAAAGTCAGCCAGATGTATAGCACTCATGCTACACATTAATAATGCAGAATAGATCATTAATACAGAACATATTCCAGAAAGCATTCACATTCCAACTTCATTATAATGTCAAGCTTGGCAGGAAGCATACAGCAGCAGCAGTCTAGCAACCTACTTATCAGTGAGCAATGTTTGGCACTGGACCAGCAAACGCCGCACATCAGGCTCACATGAATGATACTTTGAGAGATTAGCTTTGTTACTTTCATCATTCGACACAAATTCAATAAAATGTTTATTGTCTCCAGCCCTCAATGCATCTTGTTTGCAATGTTAAACATTCAGGAGCAAAAAGAATTTGTATATGCTAATGAGGCCTCCTTAAACACAAGAGATGGAGATGGATAAGGCGAGTTTAGAGATTACATAACTCATCATATTATGCCTAAGGACAGCAGGAGGTTGTATGTTTCTTGTTCATTTTAGTTTAGCAATTTCTAAGGAAGGCGGGGTTATTAATGTGCCTGGAGGAGGCAGAAGGTCTGGATGAAATAAAATAAATTTCAAGAAGTAACTTGCATTCTGTAAAAAGTCTTTTCAGCAATTGTTACCAGGCGGTTCAAAGTCTGTGGTGCTGTTAGGCAGAGCCTAACCAGCACGTAATGAAAACAACAAGGACTCACCAGTTCTGCATCGATTTCGTTCAGCAGGAGAGGCTCATGTCTCAGCCTGCAGAGACAAAAAAGGACAGACTGTAAGAAAAAAAAGGGAGAGAATTTCATAAATCACAAAGGCTTGAATATGGACTTATTTGGCTGAGTTCTTCAAACTTAAGAGAGAGGTTGCGCATACCGTATCCCACTACTCCCCTCTCCCAAACACAATATAAATGGGGAAGACATGCCAAGCGGCGTGACGCAACATGTTTTCAACATAATATGTCAGTCAGTGTGCTAGGATGCTCGTCTGATGGCCTTTGAATCCATCTGCCTCCTGGAGCGTTCGCACTCAGATCTTTTGGAGAGGCGTTCAAACATCCGTAAGGATGGCTGGCAACTTTGTGGCGGCTTCTGCTGAGGAGAAACTACACTGAAGATGCTCAACGCTGGATTTCTGCCAAGATACAATATGTTGATATTTCCAACTCACTATGGATGATTGCCAGTATTGACACTAATACATGGACACATTTCCCACACACTTCTGTCTGAGTCCCATCTGGACTGTAATGTAATATTATACCTACTCTTACCACAAAACAATCCCATGCTTTTTTACTAAACACTCTGATTGCATAAAATACATCTGCTTTTTATAAATACTTTAAAAAAATGAAATCTAGGAGTGCAACACATTTTTTTTTTAGTTTAATACAAGTCAAGTCTTAAGTCTAACACACTGATCTGCATCCTGAAAACATGGCAGCTTTATATATTTTTTTAAACTAACACAAATGAAGAAAATTCTACTGATATGGACATAAATGAAGAAGTACAAGGTATAAAAAAAACAAGAGACAAAGCATGATGGAGCACAACAACCTCCTAAATGCAAGGACTTTTAATTTAAGTCCAACACGAAGAAAGTAAAATCAATATAAAGTTGGCAAGTTTGTCACTGTGGGAAACAGAATAACAAGATTCTTACCAAAACAGAAATAAAAAACATAAAGTCATCACTAAGTAACACAGGCCTACATGCTTTTCATATTGTCACTACTCTAAAATCTCCCATCGCAACACATATAAGGCAAGAAAAATATTCCTACTGCCCTTGTCTGTTAGAAAAATGTCTGATGAAAACAACTGGATGGATTTTTAATAGGGGAAAAAATCATAGAGCATAAATAATCAACTGTTAATAATTATAAAGTCAACACAATTTAAGAAGACCACAACAGCTAATCAAACTTAGCAAACATGTAAATGTCTATAAGTCAGTCAATTTAACAAATACTGAGCTAAGATTTGATGTGGTAGTAGCTGAGAGTGATTCACAAGACATACTTCAAGAGCTAACACATCTTGTGAGATCACAAGTGACATTTACACGGTTTGACCAAGACAGTTTGAACTGTTCCTTCTCATCAGAAGATAATTTTAGTTTAAAACTGACAAGACATGTGGCGGGTGATATGCAATCCTTGAAGCAGTCCTTTACTCTTTAGATGTTTTACTCTTTCTTACATTTGTCCCTTTAACCATAAGTCCAAACACACATTTTCTATTTGTCTTTTAGAGATGTCTGGATGTTTTTTTTTTTTTTATTATTGTGACAAGCTGGAAGAACAAACAAAAAATTGCAATAAATCTTGAGAACGTTTAAGCTATAAACCAAATTGAAGATTAATAATGCATTGCCTTCTCCGTTTTTGTTGCATTCTCTCTGTTAAGAGTTCAATAATAAAACTGTAAAAATGTGGGCACATTAATCAGACGAGAAACGGCAAGTCAGAGAAAAATACTTGAACTTAAAGTGCGTTTAAATTGACCAGAACCTGAGATCTGAGCACAGACACAGATGATAAAAAATACTCTCAAAAATAGTCTCTAACCACTGAGTGTAAAAATAATTTTTACGTCATCTGGTTCAAACAAAAAAGAGAAAAGAATAAAACAGGAGCACGCTCTCAGCTGGGCTTCAAGCTCCTTGGTCTATTCATCAAACTGCCTCCCAGTCTGGGTTAAAGCTACAGGTAAAAAGATTGTGTGTGAGGGAGTGTGTCTCTGTTGTCACCACAGAAACGTTTGTTTTCTTTCACATAATGATGGTAAACTTTCGCAGGTAGCCGAGGACAAACACGGTTCGAAAGAAGCGTTAAACCGCCTCCTTTGACTTTACAGTAATGAGTACTTACACATTCTGTGGTCCTTTATTCAAACTGCTGAGAAGAACAACGTTTACGATGTTCTGAAATACAACGGAGCACTTTGCGAGACCAGAATCAGCTCTCTGTGCAAATATAATTCATAATATATATAAATAAGTAGAGGTGGACACAATAGTCCTTCGCGCACCTTCTGCAAACACTCAACATTTAATTTTAGGGGCTGTCAAACCAGTTGAAAATCGTGCATTATGACGTGTTTGCAGAGCAAATAGACATTTGGAGTTACCCACATATTGTTCCTGAGCAAATATGAATTATACGTCCGCCTTCTGGTAAGACGTGCTTTGTAAAAAGAAACCTGTTAATGGCTTCATCATCAGAGAAGCTACATAAATACATCATTATTAAATTTATAAAGATTCAAATGTACAAAAGTTGACAAATGTTTATAGATTCCAGTCCCTTTTCTGACTATATGTCTACTAGCCAAGAAAATCCTGCTTATTTCATTTTACATTTATGTAGTAAATGTTTAAATAAAATGTATGTGTTTGGAATAAATAATGCCATTTATGGTACACATGCATTAAACATAAATATTTCAGAAAACATGCCACAAAAATATTTATTCATGCCAGCCACCAAAGGCAAAAGGACTAAATGTTTTCTCGCATGTGTGTTTGTGCGTATGTCTCTTCCCACAGTCTCTCATGCACGGATTTGAATGAAGCAGAATTGGATGCAAGTCTAAAACTGGTTATTTTTGGGAGTCAACCCAAATCAAAATGGCTGCCACAACTAATCACCCTCAACTAACACAATAAATGCAATAAATCAGTGAATTATAGAAATAGAGTTAAACACTAATGTGATAGTAACTGAGAGTTGGTCACCACACAGTCTGAACCAATGTCTTGCAACATTTTATGAGATTGCACATCACATTATTTTTAATATTTTTGCTAAAGTGGCTACAACTTTGTCCTTTCTCAATGCAGGACAATAATGATTTAAAGGTCTGGCATTAAACGCAGCGGGTGATATGCATTCCTTCACCAAATGCTAGGCTTTTATTTACTTTATTGCATTACCCACAAACTAATAAAATTGGATTATTTGCCTTTCTAACATATTCTGTTTTTTTTGTCCAAATTTCCATCATAATTTGCATATATTTTGAAGGTTATAAAACTGTTTAATTAGGGGTGCACCGATAAATTGGCCAGTTGATTTATAGGCCCCTATTTCCTTAATTTTGGGAAATCGGACGATACTTGCATGAGAAACCGATTTTACAGATTTTTGTCATTTTAACGACAATTGTCTGAACTTCATTTATATTTCAGAGCACTACCTCATGGCCAGTTAAAACAAGTTTGTATTGTTTCTAGGATATTGTTCAAGAGTATGTTTTTCAACAAAATAATATTGGAAAATTGAAGGTGCACTGTGACCTTATAACATCTGACAGTGTTGCTTATAAAACAGAATCGGTATCGGCAGGTCAGACTTTTTAGAAATCGGTGATCGGACAGAAAACTGCAATCGGTGCACCCCTAGTTTATATTTTTTGTAGTGTAGTAACAATTTGTGCTTCTAAAAATATTACGATTAGTCTATTTGCTTTTCTTTCTTTTTTACAATTAGGAAATCAGTAAAACAAAATAGGAAATAATCTCATTATAAACATGTTATGCTAAAGAACATGCTTCTACCTAAAAAAAAATTTCATTCAACCTTTATTTAGACAGATAAGTCACATTGAGCCTAGAAGGCTCATTTACAAGTGAGATCTGTTTAAACAGACAAAAAGTAGTGAAACTGGACACATGTAGGAATTGGAGGCGAAAAAAATTCCTATCAGACTCTTTCTTCTTGGCTGAGAAGAAAAACTCTAATATTAAAAAACACCTAACACAAACAAGCACATAGTGACGTAGACATTCTGCAGAGGGGGGAGACGACGAGAGCGGTGAGCAATGTCCATGGACGCTCTCGAGGACACTGTAGGAGTTCTGATAAGGATGGAATAATCAACCAGTTTCCTCCGGTGAGATCCGTAAACATTCTCGAGGGATGTCGGGGAATGGCCAAAGACAACGCCTATAACCATTACATTTATTTCATATTTTCATACTTATATTCTGAAACAGATCTATAGATCATATTTGGATAGAAAAAATGAGAGGGAGGCCGGTGGAACAGTGAGGCTACAAGGAGCAGAGGTCACAAAGGTGCAGGACTTCAAGTACTTGGGGTCCACAGGAAAATGGGGCGTTTGGTAAAGAGGTGAAAAAGAGAGTCCAGGCAGGATGGAGTGGGTGGAGAAAAGTTTCAGGAGTGATTTGCGATATTAGGGTGTCAGCAAAGGTCAAAGGTAAAGTTTACAAGACAATGGTGAGACCAGCTATGTTGTCTGGTCTGGAGACAGAGACATGGACAACAAGACAGGAGAAAGAACTGGAAGCGGCAGAAATTAAGATGTTGAGATTCTCCTTAGGAGTGACAAGGATGGATAAGATTAGGAATGAGATCACCAGAGGTACAGCACAGGTTGAACTGGGAGATAAAGTTAGAGAGACCAGACTGAGATGGTTTGGACATGTCCAGAGGAGGGACAGTGGGTATATTGGTAGAAGGATGTTAGAAATGCAGCTGCCGGGAAAAAGACAAATAGGAGATATATGGATGCAGTTAGAGAGGACATGGAGGTAGATGGAGTGAGGACAGAGGATGCAGAGGACAGAGAAAGATGGAGGATGACTCGATGTGGAGACCTCTGAAGAGGAAGAATAAATATATATTTGTATCACTGTTTACCATGCTCACCTGTTGTGTGAAGGTAATAATCCTATTCCACTACAGTTGCGCACTGTATTCAATTAATTGTGATTAAAGTCGGAGGA